GGTCACGAATTGGCATGTTCTGTTTACGTGACAACCCTTACTAGTTGGCTGTGTCGGGTGGTGGCGGGTTTAACGACACACATTCACGCGATCTAACCCAAAAAAACGATGTTCTGAAATAATCCTCGTTATCGGCAGAATATTTTGTAATCGTATGAATAAGAATTGTTATAACAATGTATTAAATAATAAGGAAATTCATCTCAGTGCTTGGTCACTATCTTGTGATGGTGAGGGTCCCCCACCTGGGTCCATCACTAGGGTTGTTTGACCACACTTCACCACGCTGGTCAGTACGGGTGGGCCCAGGACTGGTTCAGATATCACTTACCACTGATATCAACTGTAGCCGCGAATCAAACTCATGTCACCTCGCTTATCGCACCATGCCCTTACCACTGCACCACCGTTCCCCACCCACAATGTTTGTTGTGACATAATAATTCAAAACAACGAGGTCCACAAATGAACAAAAATCTTATTTTCTGAGACCAAAGATTGCACAGTGATCATCGTATGGAGATACCTGGCTGCTTCCACAGCAATGTGGAATTTTAACCGCCGTCTCAGGACCACGAGTGGAGCTAAATAGAGTTGGAACAATTCACTCTCCCGGGAATTCAATGAACAATTCAGTCTCCCAAATTTAAACCATAAAAACACAGCTGCAAAATGTGTTTACAGTTTAACATCCCCACAAATATGGAGTTAAACCTGTCGAGAATTGTTGAAAGCTATATCCTAAAAAAAAAATTGTTTGCTGGATTTCTTTGGATAATAATGTGCAAATGTGAAAATTATAACAACAGCATGTTCCTTTGGCAGGCTGCATTACTGTTGATTGAATCTGCTAAACTCCAGGAAGTTTCTCTGTCTGCACCCTTTTTATATTTCTCACAGTTTATTGTTTCAGTTTTCATGGAACTAACATTTTGTTTCCTTGCACATTGTTTTCAAACGCCTGTTTAGAACAATCTTGTATATTTTTGTAAATAGTTAATACGTCAATTCATTGTGTTCTCTGCCCAACCTTATCCAGATTGCACTATCAGCGTCATGCCATAAGATGAAGGTTGCCATTCGGATATCTCACGGAGCAGTGCGACCCTTCATCCTAGAGAATGAACCAAGGAAGCGGATCTCACAGAACGACTTCGGAGATCCATCAGAAATGACCTCTGATCCACAAAGTGGGAAGGGGCAGCACTTTTCCTATCACCATGCCGCAGAGTAATGTTCGTCACTTGAGCGTCAAACTGATCATTTTATTCTCAAAGCTGAGTGTCCGACAATTTTAAGTGCTGAACTTGATTTCATGCGGTTTGTTTGTACGGTGGAACATCGGTATGAGTTTTATTAGCAAGGTGTGCTCTTGGAAATCAATTCCAGCGGTTATCCCCATGTCATGGCCAAGAATTACTCCATGGACAACGTGGAGCCCAATAATATAATTACAGCAGTATTGTTATGTTGCTTCGACAAATTATGACCGTAGATAAGCATTAATAGATAAGGATGTTTTGTTGTTTAAATTCCTGAAAGGAAATACAATACAGGTAATTTATCAGCCTGTGGGCTTTCCAAGCAAATGTATTTCAGTAAGCGTATTTTTAAACAAGACCAGCTGGGACCGGTTTTAACTTTACTTAGACTCCTCAGCGGCCATGTGGACAGCGAGTAACGGTTGGCTGTAGGGCAGAGGTCGCAAACGGGTTTTGATTCCTTACCCGTACCCGTACCCGGCCGCACCAGGGTCGCAAATGGGTACCCGTACCTGGCCGGGTACGGGTACCCGTTCTCTACCCGTACCCTACCCGAAATGAGTGACAAACGGTTACTCACCAGTGACTCACGGCCTACCCGTACCTGGCCACACCAGGGTCGCAAACGGCTACCCGTACCCGTACCTGGCTGGGTACGGGTAGCCGGGTATCGGGTAGGGTACGGGTATCGGGTACCCGGTTGCGACGTCTGCTGTAGGGTCAAACAACCCCGCACGAAGGGCTGCACTCGTACACACGCAGGTCTACAGGTGATGGGCAAATGAGCAATGGATGACGCGCACACTTGTTTCACGTCTCGTAGAGGTTGTGATAACACGTGAACCCTGCCGTGGTAACAATTCAGCGACAGTTATTGAGTTTCCAGTCGTAATTAGTCGACTCTGTGCTGCGCCGTTATTTCAAGCAGGCCGGTATTCAATTCCTCCGCACCTTCATCTCTTATTTCCTTTGCAAATGGTTCTCCATACCCTCACATTCCACCGCTGGGTAGTATTATGAACATTAAAATATCGCTACGTTGTTCATAAGGCCCGCTGATGTCATTTGCGAGAGCAAAAACATCGGGTCCCGGTTGGGTGACCAAAATAGGAGAAAACGCCTCTGGTCCCGCTCTGATCACAGGCTCGCTCTCCCTGTGCCAGCCGTAGGCCTGGGGAAGTGCTCATCGCTCATCGCCGGTGCCTAGCCACCGGTGGAAATGTCACGACTTTAGAGGGACCCGATCAGTCGGAGTCGACACGACCTGTTGGATTCCCACCGATTCGTCGCAAATGTTTCCTCGCTTTACTGGCCATGGAGATGGTGGTGGGGGAGCAGACTCAACCCACACTCAGATTCGAACTTGCAACCTCATACTCACAAGTCCCAATTGCTTTGCCAGGTAAGGCACCGAGCTATTGCCCACACTAGGTATTGTGTCCACATGGTAGGTGATGCATGTGGTTTTTTTTGGGTTGCATCTTGAAAGTTCATCCTGCCGTTGTGTGTGTGTGTGCGCGCGTATCACCTATTGTACGTGAACCAAGGAGGAAACCTTTCACCTGCGCAACTCAAGGAGCTGCCCAGTGAGCATCGCTCACTGGGCAGCTAACAACCGGTGGTAGTTCTGTGTTGTCTCTTTCAGTGACACCCACTCCTCCCCTACCTGTAGGCGGGGGCGAGGGGGGGGGTTCCACGGTCAATGACTGCCAGCAGCTCACTTGGGGTGGCATCATCATCATCATCCGTGATCTATCTGCTGTTGGGGTGAAGGCTCCTCCTAGCTGTCGCCCATCTCTCACCTCCACGTGACGCATCCATCCTTCCCGGTCCTGCACACCGGCTGATTGATTCGCTCCATTCCCGTGGTGGGATCTCGCGCGCGGCCGTTCTCATTTGGCGACCAGTTAGCCATGAGCCTCGACTGCCGGCAACCATTTCCCCCTCACGACGCATATCGCCCAAGCCCCGCTTGCTTTTCTGAACAGTCGGAGCAGGTGCCGGCAGCGTGCGTGCGACGCGTAGTCGGTGTGCGGTGATTTAATAAACACACAGATGCAGCCTTTGCCCTAAGTGGGAGCAATAATTGCCGGCAGGCATCCAACTCCACGGTAGACATTCGGGTACTCAACTCTCTTGAACATTGCTGCAGTGTTCTTCACAGGAGTGGGACATCTTCTTGTTTCTTTCGGTAAAGTCACGTAGAAGGGAAGTAATAAAATAATAAAAATAAAACATAATAAAACAATTCTCACGACGTTTCGGCTACAACGCAAGCAGCCGTCTTCAGGTGAAGAATGAGTCAGGAGTGGGACATTGTTTGTCACTGTTATGGCCGACATGAAATAACCCAGCAATGATTGTGTAGCCTCACTGGTTTAAACGAGCGCTCGTAAAATCAGCTCTTTTACGAGGCCATCAATTATCCCTGGAGCAGAGGGGTTAAGTTTAACGAGTTAATTACTGACAATAAAGTATAAGCCAGAGTAGCATTTTTTGTTATTGTGTGCATATCTATGTGCAATATTTCTAAAGCAATACAGTCAATGTAAGGATGCACTCGTGGCCCCCGGGGTATCTCGGTCAACAGAGCAGACGGGGGCCCCAGCTCGCCGCTGGGCAGGTGGGCGTCGTCTCCCCTTCTGTGCCGTCGGCCGCGGTGACCTCCACAGGTCGCGACACGGGAGGCGTTGCGCGTGGCGCGTTGAGGGGCGGTTCGGAGCGGTGGCGTCGTGGTTAGCGCACCGCGGTGCAGTTCCCGGGTGAAGTGCATTCATTCCGGGTAGAGTGTGTGTGTGTGTGTCAACGTTACTGCGGGGCAGACGCAAGTGCCACTTGTTTCATCCACCGTTGTTAGTGCCGCGCCTGCCTTAACGGGAGCTCGCGAACAGTGCTTGCAAGCCCTGCGACCCTCCCGAGGATGAACGGGGATATTTACTTTCGTGTGTGCGTGTGTGCCTCTGTTCGTTTTGTTCATTTACTTATGAGCACAACATCATTACAGTACACAAAACGTCTCGAAGCATACCCAAATTCACTTGTACCAGGTGTATGTACATATTCTATGTGAGAATGTGGGGGCATGCTCATGTGTACGTGCCTGTATGTGTACACGCTCTCGCGCGCGCGCGCGTGTGTGTGTGCGTGTGCGAGGCTGCCTGCACGTGTGCATTGCACCTGTTTACCGATACCTATTATGGGGAGCGGTGGTGAAGTGATTAGGCACCGAAGATCGATTCCCGGTCACGGCTGACACCAATGGCGAGTGATATCAGAATCGATCCTGAGCCTTCCGTGGGTTGACTCGGCCTTAAACGAGTACCTGGTGCAGTGTGTGAACATCAGAACTGGGGAGACGAAGGCAGCCGGGCGTGGTGCTGGCTACACCACCCGTTGATGTGCCCGTGCTGGCCTTCATAGGTGCTGGATTACAGCAATTGTCCTAACAGTCTGTTAAAGGCTACATTGGGGATCTTCGGCTTTGTATGTCTGTGTGTGTGTATGTGTTGTTTACAATGAGCAGGGCGCCGGGCGGCTTAAACAAAACCAGGCAACAGTGGAGTACACAGGCGGCGGCATCTGCCAGTCCTCGCTGCCGGTTAACGTCTGGGCCCGTCGCCTGAACTCATGCCATCAGCGAGGCTGAATGCACGAAAGCCGGATCATCGCTCAACCCGAAAAACGTGGCACGTACTTAATGCGCACGTGCGTGTCCGTGTGTGTCCGTGCGCGCTCCAGGCACGTCGCACTGGGGCGGCTACTCGCACGCGGCGGTGCTGTACGCGCTGGGCACGTGCGGCGTGCGGCACGTGGACACGGCGCGGCGCTACGGCTGCGAGGAGCGCGTCGGCGCGGCCCTGCGGGAGAGCGGCGTGCCGCGCGCCAGCGTGTGGCTCACCTCCAAGCTGTGGCCGGGGGACATGGGCCACGCTGCGGCCCGCGCCGCCTGCCTCCGCTCGTGCCGCGCGCTCGACACCGACTACCTCGGTCAGCACCACGGGCCGCAGGCCTCGCGCGCCGAGAGAGCGACGGGCGCACCGACGGAGCACGCTCGGTGTTCCGCGCCATCGTTGTCACGGCGCGGGCCGACCGTCGCGAGGGCAAGGCGCTGCTGTGTTTGGCGGTAGGGGGCGGTGTTGCTGTTTGTGTAATCCCAACGTCGGCTCTTTTGGAACGACGTCACGGGATCTTTTAACGTCCACCGTGAAGCAGTCGGTGTGTGTGTGTTTACTGTTATCGGTGATGCAGGAATGGCCAGAGCAGCCTGCTGGATTCGAACCGCGAGCCTCTGAAATAAGCGACGAACGCCCTACCTCTGGCCAGTTCTCCCGCGTGAAATAAATTACTCGGCCTCCATGAATGTAGATGTACGTGTCTGTCCCACTGCTGGATGAGAGCTTTACAAGGAATCTCAAAATTTTCAATACGCAAATTATGACGGTGGACTTCAGTGGCTCGCCATTGAAATTATTGGGTGGCTGCTGTGGGGACACGTGGCCGGCAGTCGAGGGTAGTGCATCGAAATCCGCCGTTGTATAGTACTTCTATGTTTCCACGTCCATACTACCCACCGTCACCAACCACGCACTGACCAGCGTGGTGAAGCGTGGCCAAGCTACCCCTCGAGCCCCACGCAGACGTGGGGCCGGGCCCTCGTCCAGCAGCGGATCGTCAAAAAGGGGGCAGCTCTGCATACGTGGCAGAGATAAAAACGGTCGGTCCCCGTGCAACCTGGCCGAGCGGCTGGCAGGCCCACGTCCGGGGATGCCCAGAGGCTCCTCGTCGGGGTGATTGAACGCAGACGGCTGCAGGAGCAGACGCGTTCCCCGAGTTCATTTCTCTTCTTGGCGGTGGCCTCGCATGCCAACTTTCAAGTGCTTTGGGAAACGCAAATACAACGCCGTGGCCGTCTTCAAGTGTGTGCCCATTGGGTGGTCTCGGAATGGGCGGGCGGCCGTTCCGTTTGTTTGTGTTTCTCGTGTGCTGTTTGCGTTCTGTTGAACGTTGCATCGTTACCGAGTGTGTGCCGTCCAGTCGGCCCAGGCTGGCCTGCACTGCGGACAGAGTTGTCACTTGACTGTCAGAAGTGGTGCGCGAGTCCAAATCGCTCCGGGTTGGAGGTTGACGTAGATGGTGTTCTCGTTTGTCTTGTGTAATGTATGCAGTGTTTTCACGATGTTAGCCTAAATGTAACATGAGCACAGTATTTGCATACAATCATAAATAATCGTTCTCATCTAGGATTCAATGCATGTATCGTAAGCATACACATCTAATTGACCGGTTAACGTGTGATCCGTTTGATAACTCGTGCACCTGGCACGTTATTACGGGGCTCCTTTTCACATTTAATTCTAGCTCTTTGCTGTAACAACATTAAGTTGCGAATGTTCAACGTCCTCTTTGCATCGCTTTGTTAATAACATCCGGCGACGGTCTACCGGGCCGCTGCGGTAATGAAGTCGTGTCCACCCCCGCCCCCCTTCACGGACCGCTCTTTGCGGTGAGCGTGCCAGAATCAGAATATGTATTTCTCCTGCAGGAGGAATCCGATAAGCTATAAAGCTCTTGTTTTCCAGTCGGGGCGGGTAAGATCGTTACAACAACAAACAGAACAAAAACACGATAGGAGCGCAAAGTACAAGAAAGGTAAACAAATTCCCCAAACACAAACAAACACGACACTAAACCATCCCCATCCTACCAGACAAAGCCCACCGAGGCATTAACTTATTGGGTAAAGGAGGTCTCATAGTGCATTAACTTATTGTTCAAAAGTGACTTGGCCACAAATGATAGCTCAACAAAGCGGCCTATCATTTGGCCATTTATCGCAGCAAAATCATCTACAAAGTGCCGACCGCTCTTCGCGGTGAGCGTGCCGACTGCCCGGCCCGCCCGGCCGTTTGATCTCGCCGTGCGTAGCGGCGCCTTGCGCAGCGGCTTCACTCAGACGCGGTTCGTGACCATCCCCTCCGTCAAGGCCGAAGCAGCCACGGATCCTCGTTGTGCGTGGCTCGTTGTGGCGTGCGTGCGCGCACGCTTTATCTCGTCAAGACAACCTGTCTTCGCCCCGTTCACGCGCGATTAGCCGCACGTTCATATGCAAATTGACGAGTGCGGATTAAATGCACGTCTGCTGGCCGCTGGCCATGTGGAGTTGGGCTGGGTGAGTCCCACAATAGGCGCTGCTCTTTGTCAGCGCTGCTGTTTATTTTGAGGGAGGTCGTTATGTTCCATCGTCCAGCGTAACCCGAATGCAAATTACAATAGCCGCTGTTCTCTAAACATAAATCACATCTTGGCCTGCAGGTCCCTTGATCATGATGCCTCTCACACACACACACACGCACGCGCGTGCGTGGAGGATCCGTGCGGTTGACGCTATCTGCGAGGATACCCAAGAAGCCGATCGCTTCTTTGGATGAATGAGTTTAAAATTTTGCCGAACATGACCGGAATATTTTAATGTGAACAAAAAGTTGTTAAATTAATACCAGACGTGTCCTTTATTGAACCGTGTAAGAGCCCGTGTAGAAGTTTAATTGCTTGCATGTCTCTAACAATGGGCTTCCATCGCTGGAAGCTGTAATTACGTGTAATATAGCTCCTCCTGTCTGCAGTGTTGCGGGTGGAGGGTGTCAACGATGAGAGATTTTATTTTAATAAGAGAGGGGATTCCCTTTGTAACCGACTTGATCCATGGGTGGCGCTTACCGCTAGCTCACCGCTCCCTCGTGCCCGATGGATAGATCTTGACTTATTATCGTCATTACACGCCTGTTATATATACCAGCTCGTTTGCCCATCCTAGGATGGAAGCTGTAATATTTACGAATTTTTTTAGCAGATTTAAATTTAATGGCAGTGAATCTTGCACTAAAGTACGTCATCAAACACTTCACTGCAGTTCACTGTAGCACTGTATTAATGGTAGTGATTTTTGCACAAAACTACATCATAAAACACCTCACTTCATTGTAGCACTGTATATAACTGACCTTCAATTTGTTCAAATTCACTGCTCTGATACTTTATTCTCTTCTGCTTTCGGTCGCTGGGGTTGAAATTAATTGGAATTCGATACAATATCTGGAAAATCACCGAGAAATGTCTATTTTACCATAATGTAGAAGCATAAATTAGACTGACCTTTTGTCTCAAGTGCTGAAGAAATAAAGACACCAAATCCACTTTGTTGCTGCGTATAATTATTTATTAGATTCACTTTCAATAAAGAAACGCCAAACTTAAAGCGAATTTGCCCAAAAAATATTTTCCGTTCGACCTTCTGCTTGAGTCTAAAAATCAACCCATTCATGAATATTCATGACGGGGGTACGGCATGTGGAGTGACGTCACACGCGTTACACACAAACAGACATTTTTAGCTTATTATAGTAGTAATATCACACGTAAGGGCCTTGTACATATTTCCTCAATTTGTACTCACAAATCATGCCCTAATATACTGGCATTTAAAGCTTAAATGTCACGCCCATAATGTAGCGGTTATGGTGGTGCTATTTATCTTCTCTAAGAATCTGCACTGATGAAAGCAGGCCTTGTGGATCATTGAAACGTGGATAATATCGTGACGCGCAGAGTCGTCCTTTGAGATTGTACTTCAAAAGGGATTGAGCTTCCCTACCAATGCACATCTATAGCCTGCGCGTATCTCCTCTCGCTGTCCGCTCCCCTACCCTCTCTCTTGGCCTGGATTGCCTTGCATTTTCTCAAACCACAAACGTACGTAAAATAGAAGTGCGTATGGCAAAAAAGTCATCGTGCTCTCGTTCGTCTCGGACCTCAATGATTTAAAGTAACAATTTGGTACATTTGGTGTTGGCTCCTTTGATTTAGCGCAAGGATTTCACGAGGACACCACGCTTCACCGACATGGTTTGAATTTGGCAAATCTGGACCGTGACGCCGACTCGTTTCGAGTGGCGCGAGGCGACCTCCGGCCTCCGCCGTGAAGCAGACGGCGCGTGGTGGTTCACGGTGAGCACGCCGCATCGCAGCATTAACCAGGGCGGCCTGCCGTGGTACAGCCGCGAACCTCTGCAACGAGCGGCGAGAGCGCTTCTGCCGGGCTCCATCACCCACCGCCCTTCAGGTTCACAGAGGGGCGTCCCTAAACCCTGCGTCATCGTCGGTCCAGATCCTTCTCCCACCCCCAAGGTCTCTCATCCCAGCCAGACCTCCTCCTATCCCCACTTGTGCAACGTCCGCTTCCAGATGCCACTCTTTCGTCCACTCATTGTTTTTCTCCGTGAAACAAAGTTTAACTGTAAAGGCAAATTCACTACATCCTGTGACGGGGGTGGGGGTTGAACCCCACCAAGAAGCTTTAAGAATCCCGAAGTTCTGTAATGGAAAGTCTGGGTGATGATTTCACCGTGGATGACAGAGTTATGTTTCACAGGCCACGGTCACATGATGTAGCGATAATTTTGAGACCACGTGTAAGTTCGCTGGTGGGAGGGTTTAAGGGTGGAGGGCTGATGGTGTGCTCCGCTAAAAGACTTCCCTGCTCCGAATCCAGCTGACGTGAAACAGCGCATTTCCCGCTCGTGTCCTGCGATACAATGCAAACAATACGAGGGGCAGCAGTGATTCATCCGGGCTCGAGTCGGGGTGTGATTGGCAGGGCGTTTACGGAAAATCGACTGCAGCACAAGCGCTGCCTCGTACATATTGTCCCCGTCATTACTTATTTTTTGTTTTTTGCGTAAACGACCGATGGTAATATTTTTCCCTACCCGAGATTCTGTGGGACTGGTAGTCCACCAGTCGGTGTGGCTCAGCAGTGAAGCAGTTCGCCATGGACTCTGCGTGGACTTCGGGTTTTGAATCTTCCCGGTGATTTGTGTGGGAAATCGCCAAAGCGTGCTATTCGAAGCGCAATGGAGCGATCGTGAAAAACGCTGTGGTGACATTTGCAAGAGTAGGCCGTTGTTTGTGCGATATCCCAAATTGAGCAC